ACTTTTAATGATATTAACATTTTCCTTTAAAATACAGGGAGATATTGAATTCATGCAGTGCTGACTTGTTCAATATGTGGACATTCTATGAACAATCCTGCAATTTAAATAACGAAGTTACAAGAGGTAGCACTATTGTTGTATACATAGTTTGACATACACTCTAGTGTTTTCTCAAACAAAAATTGTATTAAAGGTTAGTTACGGTTTCCCTTGTCAATAAATTAAACAAACAATTAAGAAATGTGAAGTTAAGGGTTAAAAAGCTGCAAAAGCCAAACACTCCCAAATTAGGGAATGCAAGAATGAACATTGCCTATAAAACCTTAATTCAGCCCTCTTGTATGCACTATGATATGGCCTTTAATTACCCCCACTCACTCACTCACTCACTCACCCCTGTGCCACCTCCTGCTGGTCATCATGGGAATTAGCTCTGGCTCACTAGTGCGCCTTCATCTAGTGGCATCTCCTGTCATGAGCAGAGGTGAAAATGGGCCAGTTTGGCAAACTGGTAAGTGGGCAAAGCTGTGCAAATGAGCTGGTCTGATCCGGCACACTGAACCAGCAAGCTATTTATAGCCATTACACCATACCGGAAAGACACCGCACCGAGCTCTTTCACCCACCTGCATCCAAGCTCCCTCTTTGCCTCCATCTCATCTGTGCCTCTTGCCTGCTGCTGGCACCACTGACCATGCCCCTCACCCCACCCCCAGTGCTTCTGGAGCACCTTGAACAGCAGATTTGTGGCATTCAGGAAGCTCCAGGAGTGTGGGGGAGGGGACCTGCTCAGGGGAGGAGGTAAGGAAGAGGTGGGGCAGGGGCAGAGTTTTGGGGGAAGGGGTGGAATGGGGACAGGAAAGGGGTGGAGTTTGGGGCAGGGCCTGGAACAGAGAGGTGGTCGAGAATCCTCCAGCTTAGAGGAGAAGTCGGCGCCTAGTGATGGGGAATTCCTAGCCCCACAAAGAAACTCTTCTGAGTGTGAGCAGAACACAACCCAAAGCTGTGATGAGAATCTGCAGCAGACAGTGGGGTCTGAGGTAATAGCTGTAAGAAAGACCTGAACTGCCCTCATTCATTGTAATCCAGTGCTCAGTGAAAACTGTTTAGAGGACAATGCAAGTCTCACCATTGTTCACAGTGTCTTTCACAGATGTGAGATGCTAGAGGGATTCTGAGCCTCCATATCCTGGGGAGACGAGAACAGGAAATTCCAGCTAAGCAGAGACCCAGAGAGAACTACATTGTCTCTGCAATAGCCCGTTTCATCTCGCCTTGGTCTCAGTTACTCATCTGACTGAGTAGTGCAAGGCACAAAAATACCCAAGAGAACAGATGGACCAGAAGACTGCAAGCAAGTTCCTCCACAGATGAGACCCAAGAGACAGTGATTGACAAGGACAAGAATTGTGTGTCTCTGAAAAGTTTATTTTGTTAAATTTAGCATTTCAAAGTCTTTTTTTTTTTTTTTAAATGTAACCTCTTGTTTCCTCCTTTTAAAAAGTGCATTTAGCAGAAATCTAGTTTTGGAGATAAATTAATGTTTTTATTCTGATCTCGCTCTCCTTCCTCCACAATGCAGTGATCATGAAACTCAGGCAGGGAAGAAGCAAGACCAGAGAAAGGATCTAAAGGTGAGTAGGTAAGGTTGGAAGGCAGAGATACGAAGGCTATGTCTACACTGGCAGATGTAAAGCGCTGGCAGTTACAGTACTGCTTTGTAAACTGGTGTTCTGTGTTCACACTGTGCTCCTTGTGATGGTGAAGCATGTCTCATTAGCAGCTCTTGCAAGTCACAGAGAGCAGTGCATTGTGGTAGCTGTCCCACAGTGCAACTGGCTGCAGGGCACTTTGGGAAGGGTTTGAAATGCTGCATGGGGCAGTTAGCATCAAATGATGCAGGTTTCCCAATCTCATTGCTCTATGGTTGTCATCCTACACATTGACAACTGCTTTTCAACAGAAGTCCAGGGGAAGTGGGGAGAGTTTGATGGGGGATGTCAGCATGCTGTCTTGTAAGTTCAGACAGCAGCAAGGAACAACCCTTCCTGAGGCAGGGAGAGGGGAGGAAAACCAACAGCCTCCCCTCCTCCCCTCTCTCTCTCTCTCTCTCTCTCTCTCACACACACACACACACACACACACACACACACACACCCTGCTTCTGTGTTCAATAGCAGGAGCATTCCACCGTAGTGATGCAGGCAGTCTGAAAGGGAGCTCTGAAAGTGGATATGCACATGCAATGTGTTCAAAACAAAGAGCAGACGGGACCTGAGGGATTATGGGCTACTTCCAGAAGCCACTCAGAATGCAACAAACAATTCAAGTGTCCACACTGCCCCCGCCCTAGTGCTGTATCCAGAGCACAGCAAGCTTTACACTTCTCATTGAGGTTGTTTACCTAGAGCAGTGTGTCTTAAACTGTGTTCATGGCACACTGATGTCGGAGGTGTGCCGTGGAGAACAACAGACTTCAAAATGGCTGCCCTTAAAGAGGCAAGCAACCTTTTTTTGTTTTAGGTTTTTTTTTGCTCAATAACTTTCCCCCGACCTCCCTTTTTTTTTTCTCAACAAAAAATCCTTGATGTTCCTCATAAAAAAATATTGCTTGGTGTTCCTCGGTCTTAAAAAGTTTAAGAAACACTGACCTAGAGGGCAGCCACTGTGGAGTTAGTGCGCACTAAGTGCCTTGTCAGTATGGACACCTCAGGCGTTACAGTGCTGGGAGCTGATTTATTGTGCAATAACTTGTCAATGTAGACTTGGCCTGAGGGTGAGAGCTGAAGCAGAAAGCTCCAGAATGGTGGAGGGGGGGAAGTAAAAACTCTAGGAACAATATAGTTTTTTGTTACTATGAGGCAGAAATGCGCCTTCTATATTTAGTGTCAGATTCTGCCTGAATTTTTATACCCTGTGCAACTTCAAAGGTTTTATGCAAATTCGTTTGACCAAATCCTAGCTCCTTTTGTTATTGAAATTGATTCATTTGCTTCTTGTTGAACTCCCATGAAGAGGTTGTTTTGTGTACTTTACACAAAAGTGAGCCTTCTTATGAAGAGCAATGATTCACAGAAGCTCTTTGTGTCATGATTTCACAGCGTTGGTCGCTTCCAAAGTTGTTTGCTAACTGGTATGTTTGTATCTGAACAGGTGGGAACCTAATTGTGCAATTCCCACACTGCTGCCTGCTTGCAAACCATTTGTATTCTCTGCCCTGCCTTATCCCAGTTTATACTAAGGTAACAATGGAATTGCACCAGCATCACAGTCGTGAATCACTGCAGAATCGCACTCTGAAAGTACATCTACTCCAGAATCCAGCTGTTCACTGAAGTCCTGATCCTGCAAAAAGATGCGTATTCAGGGACTGCTTATGGATTTCAGGTTAAGGATAAATGGAAGTGTTTGCAGGACTGGGGCCTTGCTTAGTGTCGCCCACAGAAAGCATTTTGCCTCAATGCTTCAGAATCTGCAGTGGCTTCCAATCCCTTTCCATGTTCTGGGTTTAATTTAAAAGTCCTTTGTGGTTGGAGTACGGGCCCCATCATTGTTCCCTGACAATGGAGAACAGCTGAGGCACTCAAATGAACAGTCCAAATATTTCCATATAAGGAGTCTGGGAAGGAAAACCTTTCGAATGTGGGATTTTTTCCCTCCAAGTCTCATTTCTTTACACGTTAGGGCTAGGGATGTTAAATTGAGGATAAGCCACTAATTGAGTAATCAGTGGCATTTCCATCAATTAGTCCATAAGGGGGAGAATATAGTAGGAGCTGGGCAGCAGCCTGGCTCCTACTACATTTAAACTGCAGAGCCGCAGTGGGGTTAATTACCTGGGGTGGCACAAGCTGAGACTAAGCAGTCCCAGCTCACACTGCCCCTGGGAGCTAACCCCGTTGCGGCTCTGCCTTTTCTGCCCCTCCCCCCCACCGCAGACACGGTGCTGGGGGGAACCAGCTTTTAAGCCAGCTCCCCTCAGCACCATCTCCTGCTTCCCCCCACTCTTGTTGCCTCTGATATTGAGCCAACAAGTGGGCGGGGGGGAATGCGAGTAGTAGGCTATTCAACTACTCTTTTACATCCCTAGTTAGGAGTGGACATTTGGAGCTTGTGGGGGGAGAGGAAGGTTAGTTGTTTTGTGGAGGAGGGATTTCTAGTCTTTAAATCAACACAGAGTCAATTAGTTCATTTTGCATAATTGTGCCTTATTAGAATTTGACATGGGCTAAGACATTATCACAAGTGTATTTTCAAACTATAAACATATGCATGTACATATATACATATGTGCATCCAGGAGTTCCTTCTCCAGGCATTCTCCACTGAACAAACACATTGATGCTTGTAATAGCTATCCAGCGGACACTGAACAAACACATTGATGCTTGTAATAATAGCTATCCAGCGGCCTGATGACCCACCCCTAAGGCTTACATATGTTGACTTTTCCAGTACACCCAGAACAGGACATACTCCAGTTTTCCATTGTTGATGTCCTGCCATCCTTTTGTTTTAGCATTGGCATTGGAACGTCAAGGGAAAACGTCATTTAGCAGAGTTTTGATCCTTTGATGTATGTAACAGATACATGGGGGTGCGCCTGAGTGGGCCAGTCTTCAGGTCTGCTTTCAAGAGTGCCCAACATTTGAGGTCTTCACCTCTAGAAATTTAGTTTGGCCTTTAATAGATAAAGGGCCAAGACTCAAAAGTTTGGATCTGGCACAGCACTTCTCCCAAAATCCAAAGGTGTTTAGATTCAGGGGTTTACTTTGGCTGACCTCTAGCTAATAAATGAACAATAAGGGCTAATGACGATGAGCACTTAGTCTATACCATATGCAAACCCATCCTAACTATTCATAATAGTCAAGAATCCTGCAATTTTCTGTAAAACCCGGATTTCTTCCGTTCTAGGCTTCCTCATGCAGCCATTAAAATCAGTGGCAAAACTCCCACTGATGTTAGTGAGAGTGGGATCTGGCCCACATTTGAACATCACTCCCTTTGCAGTAGTTTGCCTTGCTGGCATTTTCTTCTCTTCTGAAGCACACAAGGGAGGCCTCTGCTGGTCGCACAAAGCCGTACGTGGCTCTCAGTGACTTTACTTTCACTTTATTTATTTGTCAGTGACCTCCCCTGTTCATGGAAGCAGGGAGACAACTTTTTCCGTAGCCCCTGTTTTACCTTTTTTCGGACATAGCCTGGAAGGCGTGTATCCCATGGACAATGCCCTACAGGACATGTAAGTGACCAACATTTCTATATAGAATGTTTTCAGTAGTATGAATCATTTGACTTTCAAAGTCAGATGAAGCAAAACAACAGCTCATGAAGGAGAGAGAGAGAGAAAGAGGAAGGGTGTGGGATTGGGCAGAGGAGTGGCTGGTAGTTTGATGAATACTGAGATTTTTCCTTTTAGGATTCTGTTTTGCAAATTATCAACTAGTGCTTATTGCTGGGACTTTAGTGCGTAACCTGATCCTTCGAAGAATTGTCAGCGCTCATTCTATTTTCTTATTACAGACAGAGATTTCACTAGATACGCGGCCTGCACTGCTCTATCCAGCTGGGGAAAAAAGGAATCTTATTGAGAAATTATGCATAACCAATGTATTTTCTAATTGTGATGCCAGGTGACAATGGCAACATTTAAGAAACAAAATAATTAAATTAAACAAAATATTCCTGTTTAGCAGAAGAAACAATCAGTATTCTAGTTTGAGATTAGCTAATCAGGAAGTAGGAATGTTTGTCCTTTAAACTGTTACTGTGGAAAATAAAACAGGGTAGTTGGCAGGTCATATAGATTGTTTGCTGAATTAGGAGATAAAAACCAAAGACGAATCTCTGCTTTTGAAAATAATTGGCCTCCACTGACATACTATGTCTGCCATCAGCAGGGAGCAAGGGAGCTGGGAATTACAGCTCTTAGATAGAGCAGCTTTTAAATGAGCATTATTCTACTTCTAGACTGTAATGGTTTTGAAGTGGTATTAAGCATTCAGCATGATACTTACATTAATATTGTAAATGCACACACCATACCCAATACTGCTCTTATTTATCATGGTTCTGGCTCTCAGTGGGTTTTCCATTGTCATACTCCTGTCCAGTACATGCCACATCATAGTTATGCCTATGGTTATGTTTGGTTGCCTGTAGCACCTGCACATATTGTCATTGTGTTAACACGATGCATCTGTCTGGTTGTCCATACCTGAGTGTTTTTGTGTCAACTGTATGACTCATTCTGACTATCCAATCCAGATTGGATCCCAGAAGAGTTCTCTTTGCCAATAGTAACATAGTTGTGTGATTAGACTTACAAAAGTCATTCCCTCCCCCCCCCCCCCCCCCCCCATCCCATATATGCTGAAATAGGGTTGGAACTCCTTTGTCTGAAACCTGTTAAAGGATAGGATATGAAAGTATATTGAAGGATATTAAAACAAGCTAGAGCACTGAAAACAAGAATCAGGGAATTAAACTGATCCTGAAGACAGCTCTCAATTCAGAGCCCAATCCATCTCCCTTGGCTGAAATCTTGCCTTAGCACACAACACAAAAGAGTTGGGCTTGTGCATTGGGGAGCTCTCTAACAACTGGGTGGGGGTAATGGGAAGTAATTCGTCCTCCAGACAAGCCATTCTGCAGCTAGTTCTCCATTTTCAGCCAGGAGCAGACTTTCTGGTGGCTGCACTCCACTTCATAAAGGGAAAAACTGGGGGATCCACAGAATGGCAAAGCCACTAGCCCCACCCAGCTTACATATGCCTGCATAGTGGGACCTGGGCTCTGTAGCACCCTGGAGATGCATACCTCCTCTGAAGATGGGTCTCAAATGTATCCTCAGATCTAAACATCCCAAACAAGGCGGACTGTTGGTGCCATGTACAAACATTGCTGCTCTGAGCTGCCCATAGTCAAAAGGCTCTTTGGTGACTCATATGAGCAGTTTAGACTTCAGTGGGCATGAAGTGCTGTTGAGCACTCAATGCTGCATTCTGCTGTGGATCACTCAGGGTATGTCTACACTGCAATGCTATTTTGGGATACCAAAAGTATCCCGAAATAGCTACCCTGCGTCTTTTGAATGTGTCCGCTATTTCGAAATACAGCAGATGCGCTATTTTGCCATCCCTGTAAACCTCATTCTACGAGAAGTAAGGGATGGCTCAAAATAGTGCTTTATTTCGAAATTTGGCACTGTCTAGACAGTGCCAAATTACAAAATGGCCTATTTCGAGTTTCGGGTGCTATATAGACGCAGTGTTAAAACAGCATCTTGGAGTGCAAATATTGTAAACATTGGGCCCAGCAATGGATTCTATCCACTTACTCCAACAGGTTTTGGCTCATGGCCCAGAGAGCTTTAAATTCCCAGTTGGCAAATGGGAGGCCTGCTGATGGTAGTTTGTAGTCAGTTTCTGATGGCCATACAACCACACATGTATAAAGAGGGTGATGTGTTCTTAAATGAATCAGCTGGGATGGCCATACTAGCCAACCAACCTTTAATTTCTGCAGAGAGAGGAAGGGGTAGGGAGATAATATGGCTAGAAGGCCAAAGGAAAAATACCTTTTCAGGTCTCTCTCAAAGGGAAAGTCAAGCATGAATATTAGGTCCCAGTATAGCTGTCAGGTCAGAATCTCTCAGCATACATCTCATCTACACTACAGAGGAAGATCAAAGCTGCTATTGTCGATCTTCCAGGGTTTGAATTAGTGGGTCTACTTAAGACAGTTAATTCGAAATGAGAGGGGTGCTCCAAATGATGCCGGTTAAGTTTTGCTTTCACAAGGAGTGAGGGAAGTCAAAGGGAGAGTGTTCTCCCTTTGACTTTCTTCTGCGTGGATAGTGCCAAAAGCCGAGTTAAGGTACTTCGACTCCAGCTACACAATTAACATAGCTGAAGTTGCGTATCTTAATTCGACTTTATCCTGTGGAGTAGACGTACCCTCAGAGTATGTGAGTACATATTTTATATGTATAGTTTTATCTGATAGCATATTCATTTGGAGTCAAAAGATCCACTTGCATGTCACCTTTCAGCTCCTGTAGGATTTCTGCCTTAAAAACAGTGTTAATATATGCTAAAAGTCTCTTTACACCTATTGAAGGTTGTCTTGTTATAGTACATCTTGGCGGCACGGCATGTAAGAAAGCCATCCATTCCAGAGCTAGAAGCTATTGGACCATTATCTGAAAAGACAGTAAAGTACATGAAAAACGGAGCTCACCATGAGATGCTAGGGAACAATATCGCTTATGTGCCTCAGAGGGTGGTCTTCAGATCTTTGGGCTGCCTAGAATGGTCTCTCATTGACAAGGAAGTGTCCAGGGGAGAACACAGTGGCTGATTCTGCTTGCAATGGTTTTATCCCCTGTATGAAGGTTGGAAGAGCTATTGTTTCTCTTCAGTATAAATATTGCCTTTTGTCTTTTTGATGCCTGTCATAATTACAAAATGTCTTCCTTCGCCTTTGTATAACAGCTTAGAAATACAGCTCTTCCAAAGTGCTTTAATTTAATGAAAGCCTTTCCTTTGCCTAGCCTGTGCCGTTATCATAAATCCACAGTAATAAATAATTTATCTAATTCTTCATTGATCACAGCACACAGACTCAAGGCTCAGCTTTGCTCCTCTAACAAAGCTTGTCAGTAAAGGGTATCGGCCTTTTGTCTGAACCTGGTTGAGTAACTTAATGCTCAGAGAATTTTGGGGGAGTTTTTGAATAACACCGATCTCTTCATGTTTTCTGCCTCATAAAGCTAATAGATCCATATTTAATTAGAAGCTTCATTTGAAGCTCTTTCTTCCATTTAGGGGAGTTAATCCTTTTTTCTTAGGTTTGAAAATCTAGCTGTCAACTTTGGTTTACCTTTCCTAGTTAACCATAAGTGAGTGAATCCACTTTTCTAAATATCCAATTAAGATAAATTGTGCATGGAAACATGGAGACTGCATGTGCAAATTAGAAAAAATGCAAACATTATTTGTGGGAAACTTACATTATATGCTGATATATAAGTTCATTGTTACAAATTATACAATTAATGAATTGCTTCAAAAATTAGCAGTTAATTCTGCAAACCTAAATTTATATTCCCAGTTCAAACAGCAAGCACATGAAATTGGTCATTGAAATATATTCATGATGTATCAGTTTATATATTTTACCTTTTAGTTTGATGATAAGAATTGAAAAGGGGCATCAGAACTGAATCTGATGCAGAGAAAAGAGCCTACCTAAATCTCATGAATAATTAATTACTTTGTAAATTAACCTTTTTATGTGTCAAGCCTCCTGATCTATTCCGTATTTCCAAAGGCTTGCCCGTTCTCTCTGAGGAAGAGCAGGTTGTAGAATTTACTTTTTATTTTTTTGCCATGCTCAGTGCAGCTTTGAAACACTATGCAATACTAGCTAGTAGCCCCCAACACTCACAGACAGGTAGAACAGTGATATCAGAAATACACCATAGTGTGATGTAGCAAATGGTTCTACAGCCAGATAGGACTTCCACGTTTTTAAGGATAGGTGGAATTCCGATCTTCTTGCTCCTGAAGCTCAGGCCTTAATTATTGGAAATAAAAAAGAAACACCTTTAATGACAGCCATGTTAAAGATATAACATGTATTTTAGGAGGGCTGGAGTTTTCCACACAGTAGGAGTGTAACATATATATTAGCTAATTCAATAGTTGTATTTCCTTTCCTCTTCTAATAGTGAGATTGATACACCAGAGTAAAATGATATATTATGACAATACAAATGGTACAGCAGAGGGTGGGGCTTAGGTGAGTGAGGTGGGGGCGGGGAGGACTCAAGAAAGCAATCAGCACATATGCATCCATGATAAATACTAGAAGACAATCTTGCGGTCCTCACTAAAACCAAACTGTCGTTGATGTCATAGACTACAGCGGGGGAGGGGAACCTTTTTTGGGCCGGGGGCCGCTGACCCGCAGAAAAATCAGTCGGGGGTGCACACAAGTGAGAAGCAAAACAAACAAGCAAAGCCTCATTGATGTGGCCCCTGACTGAGAAGGAGAAAGTCATTCCCCATATTCCCCTCATGCACGAGAGCCGAGGGGGGGCAGGCTAGTAGATTGTGTGCTCTCCAGCCCCACAGAGGGGCAGCTGGGGGGCTGGAGAGCCTGTGTGAGCTCCCCAATGCTGGGGGGCCCCTGACCCTCAGGGGTCAGAACCAAGCAAGCCAGGGGCTGCATCCTGGA